ATGGGTCTGAGGACAGCCCTGGTTCTTTCTGCACATCTGCTGCTCACACTGCGTCTGCAAGTGGAGGCTCAGGCGCTGGGTAAGTCTAATAACTCAGTAACTCAGCTTTTTCTCTTTGTTTTTGACTGTGACTGTGCAAACACTGCAAAAAATGATGAAAAAGTAGATTAAAATTGCTTGAATTGAGTGGTTTTTTATCTTAATCTGAGTTCATTCTGACTGTGTTAAAACAATATTTGTCAATGGGACAAAGCCGTTTAGTCTCATTTCAAGATTTGTTGCCTTTTTTCTAATTCCAAGAGACACATTTCTTGTATCTTTTTAAAAAGAAGATGATTTTGCTGATTGTCCCATCAGCAAATGTTGTTTTAAGATAAGAGATCCTTTATTCGTCCCACAGTGGGGAAATTTCAATGTTGCAGCGCACATACAGGACAGTACACTGCAAAAGTTGACAGAATTAAAGACGAAAAAATGCTCAAATTTGGCTAAATGTATCTAAATATGAGCACATTTTGACTGCCTTAAAACAAGATTTGCCAGTGGAACAAGAAAAATGATCTTGTTTTAAAAAGATACAAGATATTTCTCTCTTGGAATGAGAAAATAAAGCAATAGTTCTTGAATCAAGTCAAAATGTCTTGTCTCATTGGCAAATCTCATTTTAAGACAGTCAGAATGAACTTAAGTCAAGTTAAAAAAACTCAATTCTAGCAATTATGATCTCATATTTGATCATTTTTTACAGTGTAGTAAGAGCACACAGGGAGCTTACACAATATACAAATTAAGTAGTAGCTATGTTTCTTAACTAACATAACTAGCTGTAGATGCTGAAAATGCTTCAATACCAGTCCAAAATATATATATACTGTACATATAGATAAGGCAGTACTGTACATATATATAAGGCAGTCAAAATGTGCTTAAATTGAGAAACATTTTGCCAAATTTGAGTAATTTTTGACTTATTTTTCATCACTTTTTGCAGTGAACAATGCATGAAAAGTTAAGTAAAAATATGTGAAATAGAGGCATTTCCAGTGTAAAGAAGAAGCCAGGCCACAGCACAATGAAAACAGTGGGTTTTTACAAGTTATACATTATAGGATTTATGTTTGGTTTATGCAGAAAATATAGGCCAAAGCTGCAAACTAAGATCACTGTAGCTTTAAAATACACAGTTGCGCACATTAGAGGTGTAAAGCTTTGGTGATGTTAGTCAGGGGCCGGAACATAAACATAAAAATGGAAAGTTAGAAGAAAAAAAGACATTTATTTGTTTACATTATGAAGGTATTTTCACAAAGTTATTATCTGTTATCATGTGAGTTTGGATGATTCTGGTTCAGTTCCAGTTTGTTTGTATTGAACCAAAATTGGAGCAAAGTGGAAGTCGTCTTGTTAATCTGACGCCAATGTTGTTTGTTTTGACTTAGTTTTGTCCATGAGAAAATAAGGTTTAAAATGAGGTCTAACGTGCCATGGTGCCATCAATGCTGAAAGTGAATCATCATAATTGTGCAGTAAAAATGGTCCTGATTGCGGCTGCACATGTGGTTTACATGATTGATTTTGGTGCATAGTGAATCACCAGAGGCAGGACGACAGCGCCACCTGCAGTCCGACTTCTGCAGGACAGAATCCCAGGTGTGTGGGAGTAAAGCGGTCCCCTCCTCCTGGTTTAATGTCCTGAGAGCGTTGGTCTAATGCTAAAGACTAAATGCTAATTGTTCCAAGTTAAAAGTGTGTTGCTATAGTAACTAGCACTTGAACCCAAACTGGTCCAGAACCAGAACCTTGATAAATTACTATAGAACTATGATAGAAAAAAGTTACAAAAAATGGCTACCTTTGAATTACACATTCAACATCCAGTCTCTCTATCCTCTCTCTCTCTCCCCCATCGAGTCTCTCTCTCCAGTGTCTCTCTCTCTCTCTCTCTCCCTCCAGTCTTTCTGTCCTCTCTCTCTCCCCCCATCGAGTCTCTCACTCCAGTCCCTCTTTCTCTCTCTATCCAGTCTCTCTAACCTGTCTCTCACTCTCTATCCACTTTCTCAATCCAGTCTCTCTATCCTCTCTCTCTCTCCCCCATCCAGTCTCTCACTCCAGTCCCTCTATCTCTCTCTATCCAGTCTCTCTTTCCAGTCTCTCTCTCTCTCTCTCTCTCTCTCTCTCTCTCTCTCTCTCTCTCTCTCTCTCTCTATCATCTCTCTCTCTATGCAGTCTCTCCATCCACTTTCTCTCCCTCTATCGGGTCTCTCTCTTTAGTCCCTCTCTCTCCCTCTCCTCTCTCCTCTCTCTCTCTCTCTCTCTCTCTCTCTCTCCAGTCTCTCTCTCTCCCCAGTCTCTCTCTCTCTCTCCAGCCCCCCTCTCTCCATCTGCTGATTTCTAAATGGACTGTGACTGTGAGCCGTGTTGATAATGACTTCCAGAGAGTCTAAAAGTCTAAACCGGTGAAAGTGCCGCTGACATGTGCAGTGAGTCGGCAGCCGGTAGTTCACGTAAGTGTTTTACAGCCTTTTGTTTTGGGAATTACACCATATGTCACACTAATCACCATCGCACGCTCGCAGACGGACGACAAAGGGAAGAAGTCCGGACCTCATCTGGGACTCACGCTGTATCCACAACAGCCAGTTTCTCCGAGCATTTGGGAACAATTTGGTTTCTCTCTAACACTGGTCGGGAGCTGTTCTTGTGCATTCTTCCTCTGGGTGTGAAAAATGCACTAAAAAAATCCTTATATACATAGTTCTGTATAAAGTCCAGTTCCCAGGTCTGCAATGAGACGGTTTTTGTTTAATAAATATGTGTTTTTAGGTCTTTACACACTGCTGCGTCTGAGATTTTAGACTTCATTCTTGCTTCTGCATTTTGCTAAAGCTAAGACCTTTCCAAACATATTTCTTTATTATGCTTTAGTTATAGATATAGATATATAGATTAATATATATTTGTTGTAATTATAATATAGGGTTATTGTTCATTTTTCTTATGGTGTGTGCTCCTCATTCCAACTGTTCTGAAACTGGTGATGCAACACTGACATTTCCCCGGGGCCATTAAACAATGTACTGTTTTAATTCGATATAGAGCCAGTAACTAGTGACACAGATGTTGTGTCAGAGCTGATTTCAAAGTTGGTTAATCTATTTTATTCTATTTTGTTTAATTATTTATCTATCTGGATCCTCATTCGTGTTGTTATAAGTCTGAGGTTGTTGGTTCAGTCTAAAACCCGCAGCAGATGTTGTTTTAACTGTTGTGGACTTTTTGCACCTTTTCTGTTTCCATCTCATTTGAGCCAAGTCTGTCTGCCGTGTTCACAGATGGACAAACACATGACTGACTCTCTCTCTCCCCCTCCATCCCTCTCTCCCCTACCCCCCCATCCCTCCCTCTCTCCCCTCTCTCTCTCTCCCTCTCTCTCTCCCCTACCCCTCTCTCTTTTCCCACTTCCCTCTCTCTCTCTCTCTCTCCCCTCTCTCTCTCTCTCTCCCTCTCTCTCCCCTACCCCTCTCTCTCTCTCTCCCTCCCTCTCCCCTACCCCTCTCTCTTTTCCCACTTCCCTCTCTCTCTCTCTCACTCCTACCCCTCTCCCCCCCTCCCCCTCTCTCTTTCTTTCTCTCTCTCCCCCTCACTCCCTCTCTCTCCCTATCTCTCCCTCACCCCCCTCCCCCCCCTCTCTCCCCTACTTCCCACTCTCTCTCTTTCCCTCTCTCTATTCCTCTATTTTCCCACTTCCCTCCCTACCTCTCGCTCTCTCTCTCTGTCCCCTAACCCTCTCTCTCCGTCTCTCTTTCTCTCTCTCTCTCGCTCTCTCTCTGTCCCCTAACCCTCTCTCTCCGTCTCTCTTTCTCTCTCTCTCTCTCTCTCTCTCTCTGTCCCCTAACCCTCTCTCTCCATCTCTCTTTCTCTCTCTCTCTCTCGCTCTCTCTCTGTCCCCTAACCCTCTCTCTCCGTCTCTCTCTCTCTCTCTCTCTCTCTCTCTCTCTCTCTCTCTCTGTCCCCAAACCCTCTCTCTCCATCTCTCTTTCTCTCTCTCTCTCTCCCCCCCTCTCTCCCCTCTCTCTCTCTCTCTCTCACTCCTACCCCTCTCCCCCCTAACCCCCTCTCTCTTTCTCTCTCTCCCCCTCACTCCCTATCTCTCCCCCCCCCCCTCCCCCTCTTCCCCCCTACTTCGCTCTCTCACTCCCTACTTCCCACTCTCTCTCTTTCCCTCTCTCTATCCCTCTATTTTCCCACTTCCCTCCCTACTTCTCGCTCTCTCTCTGTCCCCTAACCCTCTCTCTCCGTCTCTCTTTCTCTCTCTCTCTCTCTCGCTCTCTCTCTGTCCCCTAACCCTCTCTCTCCGTCTCTCTTTCTCTTTCTCTCTCTCTCGCTCTCTCTCTGTCCCCTAACCCTTTCTCTCCATCTCTCTTTCTCTCTCTCTCTCTCTCCCCCTCCCTCTCCCCTACCCCTCTCTCTTTTCCCATTCCCCCCCCCCCCTCTCCCTCTCTCCACAGTGTATGACCTGCTGACCTCCCCAGACTGCCTGCCGGACCTCCTGCAGGGGGGTCTGGCGGAGCAGGGGGTGAACGAGGCGTTTATTCTCACCTCCTTCAGACTTCAGCCAAAGACCGGCACCACCGTCTTCAGTCTGTTCAACCCCAGAGACAACAGCAAATACTTTGAGTTCACGGTGATGGGGAAACTCAACCGAGGTAACACCGACACACAGAAACCAGCCGCGGAACCCTACAACCAGGGTGTCCAAACTTTTTTTTCATAAGAAGGCCCATTTTAGTTCAGCAAAATTGGTCCCGTGGCAAAAGCTCTGGTGTGGGCTTTCCTGGTGCACACTGGGGTAGTCTTGCATAGTTTTTCCAACGGGGTTTTACTGCAAATGGCAAAGTAATTCTTGAATCTTGAGGCAAATAAGGTTAAGTTTGTTAAGGTGGTTCGAGCCCACTGCAAGACCTTTCTCTACAGACTCCCGCTAATACTCTCTGCTGTCCTTGTGTCCTTGGGCAAGACACTTTACCGCACTTTGCCTATAAGGAGCGAGGAAGTATCAGCACACCGCAGCCCTTGATGTGATATGTGTATATGACTATTCATCAAACTGAATTTCTCCATTGTGAGATCAATAAAGTATATCCTCTTCTTCTTTAACCTAAACTGCAGAACGGCAAAAATACAGGATTTTGATAAATGCTTAAACAAGGCAACATCCAGAGTAAAATTACAAAACTAACTGGGGGCGAAGACAAAAACCAAAAAACCAAGAAATTCTATAGTTTAAAAACACACAACTAACAAGACACAGTTGATACACATGACAGCGCAGAAGTGCTGTTGGACACAAACATCAAAACAAGAGTATGCCAAAATATTGTACAGTTCCCCACAGTGCAAAGACACAAATCAAAATACTATAGGATCTAGGATTATATAATACACAGGAGCAGGAGACAAAGACAAGAACTGAGGAATAAACATAATAGATGGATGGACGGACAGATAGACACTGGATAGAGAAACTAAACAAAGATATACCGACAGATACATAGATAGATAGATAGATAAAACAAAGACAAACAGATAGATAAACAAAACAAATACATATTTAATTCTGAAAGTAGCTTAGTAACAATAGCAATAGTAATAAAAAGCCAAAATGGGACTGACAACAAGAGGGAAAGAGAGACACAGGTGAGAGACATTAGGGCAGACGATCAACAGAACACAACCACAGATACAGAAAAACCCTGTAAAAATAACACAAAGTGGTGTTAAAGGAGGCTGTGTAATCCGTGTGCTGTTTTGTCCGTGTGTCGTGTTGTATTGTCCGTGTGTTGTGTTGTCCGTGTGTTGTGTGGCCGTGTGTTGTGTAGCGGTGCTGCGATACCTGCGCAGTGACAAGAGGATGAGCTCAGTGACCTTCAACAACCTGGTGCTGGCTGATGGACAGTTGCACAAGCTGCTGTTCCATCTGAAGGGGCTGCAGCAGCAGAGCCAGGCCGGGCTGGAGCTGCACCTGGACTGCAGACTCGTGGAGACCGTCAGGGACCTGCCCGCCGCCTTTCAGGGGCTCCCCGCTGGGTACGGCATCGTGGACCTCAAGACCATGCAGGCCCGGGACCAGGTGACACATCTGTATCTTGTTTGATGTTTACATGAAAACAAAAACAGAAAGTCCTCTTGGTTTGAAAGGAGGATGATGGAAGCTTCGTTTAATCGTTTAAGAGATTGCGCTCACATTGGTGTTATTGTTAAGAACTGCTGAGTCTGTAAATAGTAAATACTGCAACTTCAGAATGTAACTTTATCTACTTATTATCCTGCCTTTTATTACACTGTATTTATAGATAGATTGATATTTATATTGAAGAATTTAAAGCTATAAGAAACATAACAGCTACCGTACTGTTCGCACTATTAGGCGCACATAAAAGCCTTATAGTGCGGAAAATACGGCCGTTATAATGTATTTTTTGTGCGTGCTCCCTGTGTGCTCTTACTGCTGTCCTGTATGTGCGCTGCAACATTGAAATTTCCCCACTGTGGTTCTCATATCTTATCTTATCTAATACCACAGGAAGGTATCGAGGAGCTAAAGCTGGTCGTTGGTGACACGTTTGAGAGTGTGGCATCGTTACAAGACTGTCATTTTCAACAAAGAGATGCAGTTCAAACTTTGGGTAACAATATTTCATTTGTAATGTCAGAACCCGTCCACAACTAAATGGACCTTTAACCCGGTAATGTTCACTCAATGAAGAAAACAAAACAAAAAAAAATATTTTTTGATTTTTTTTGTAGTGCTAATACCTAAAAAAATGTATATATGTTTTTTGTTTCGAACCCCTAGTTTTTTATTATTAAAGGCTTGTAGCAATTGGTTGAGTTTGATGGTAAAGTGCCTAAAACCAAGTGATAGATGCAACACTGAGGGAGATTTCGGCTCCAAGCTTCAAGCAGATAAAGTGACTCAAAAGTGATCCACCAAATGGTTGAGGAAACCATTAAAGCGCTAGGATACTGGTACATTGACAACATTAAATTAGATTAGAGATACAACTATATTGTGTCCTTACACGGTCAGAACAATGTAGAGTCTCAAAGCGGTTTACAATTGTTATTTTTGGGCATTTGTCTCTCTCTCCACACAGAGATGAGAGCGGGGTTGCCAGTACAGGAGGCACATGCCAGACCTATTGTACATGTTTTTAGTGGTAGGGGAAACCGGAGCACCCAGAGGAAACCTAAGCAAACACAAAAAGGCCCTGATTCAAACCCAGGACCTTTTTTCTGAGTAACGAGAGTGCTATCCACTCAGCCACCGTGCCGCCTGTCGTGGGATAATATATACAACCCAGATAAATATTTGCATATGTGAGACAAAGCTGCTGTTGCTAATATATACATTAATTAGATACATGACATTATAGTGGATCTGACGTGCTTTACCGGGGTGAGAGTTCAGGACGGTGACATCTTTGTGGTCAAAACTGTCTCAACACCAGTGCAGTGTGTGCTTCCAACTCAAACTCCATTTTCCTGCAGGAGTCAACACGAAGCAGTTGTCCAATCAGATGCTGGAGTTAACGAAGGTGATTAACGAACTCAAAGACGTCCTCGTTCAGCAGGTAAACGTGAACCTGGAGCCTCCGCTTCTCGTTATCACAGATGTCACACACAACGTCACATGTACCTGTTTCCTCAGGTTAAGGAGACTTCTTTTCTCCGCAACACCATCTCAGAGTGTCAGGCTTGTGGTGAGAAAATATGATTCTGTTCTGTCTGTGTAAACCGTCGAAAGTCATGGATTTAAAGTAATGAAATGTTTGGACTGTTGCCATGGCAACTATGATTCAATTAGACAATACAAGGTCGGGCAGTTAAATATAAATCATCTACAACTTGCGTTATTCAGTCAGTCATGTTACATGTGGCAACACCTGCATGTGGAAGCCAGATCCTATCAGACCTCTGAAGCCAAGCAGGGCAGGACTGGGTTAGTACTTTGATGGGAGACCTCTGAGTTACCTCCGGGTGGAGCAGCTGTAAACTGTAAAATTGTTGTTGTGTCCTTCGGCAAGACACTTCACCCCATGTTGCCAAAAATGAGTTTTGTTTGAATGGTTGGTGGTGGTGGGAGGGGCCAACGGCACATACTGCACCTCACTTCAGTCAGTGTGCCCCAGGGCAGCCGTGGCTACAGTAGTACTTTATCACCACCATAATGAAGTTAATGAATAAAAGCATCTTTGGCTGCCCAAAAAATAACTATATTAAATCAATTTATTTTATTATTGCAGGTTGTACCCTCCAACCTCCTCCAATCATTCATGAACACACTCCTTTAATACTTGATACTGTGGGTTTTAATCTTTGGGTAGTGACTGAAACCAGGCTCTACACCGTGATTTCTTGGATGTATTCAGTTTGTGTGAAGAGTTTTAACATAATGTCTGTCACGGTCCAGGACTGGGAGGTACTGATATCGTGAAGCCCAGGTGTGGTCCAGGCGTGTGTTTCCGTAAAGACATGTGCATGGAGACGGCGGATGGCGTGGAGTGCGGCCCGTGTCCCGATGGCTACACGGGAGACGGCTTCAACTGCGACGATGTGGACGAGGTCAGTGCAAGACAACAACATTTCCAGTAAATATCTGGAGAGTTTCTGGTAAATTTCCACTCAAAGTTAAGCTGAGGAATTTTGGAAATAATCGATAGCTGGTATTTAATTTAATTAAATTGTATAATTTCCAAACATAAGAAAGAATCCATACAGAATGTTTTCAACAGATTTATTTGTAAGTAGAACAAGTTCCCTATAACATCATAAATCTTTCTTCACTTTACTGAAGGCACATTTGAGCTTGTGGACCAAACAGTCTCGTGCTTTGGGCTCAAAAGTCTGGTCCAGTCGTCTGAAAATCGGGTTTCATTTACATTCATGTAAAATCCTGGAATTTTACAACCCTCAGACTGTGGCTGCGGCGGAGCTCATTGCGAAGCACCACTGGCATCCAGAGAAAAACCCTCAGAGTTGATGATCTGCTCGGTTTATTACAGACGTCTGAACCAAGAGATGGTTAGAAATATTAAACCGTCTCCTCGTGCAGATTGTCAAATACATGCACTTATATACTCACTTTTACTTTTCTCTCCATTTTACAAAAAGGTCCATGATCAGCATTAGTGGGAGAGAGTTTGAAGAGTGAAGAAAATAATTATTTTTTCAAACAATGTTCACAAAAGGAGCCCGAGGCGTTTAATGATTGCTGTTCAAGCACAAATAAGCTCCTTCTTACACGGTTCACTTCAGTCCACACTTTAGATTTGGAAGAAAAATATCAACACTTTGAAAGTGAATTCCCTGCTAAAAAAAAAAAATATGAGTTTCATGGCTTTTGTGGGTTGTCCTGGTTTTGTTTTCTTTGGTCAGAAGTTTAAGTAAAAAGCCAAACACTTCTGAAAGAAAACCAGAACCTACATTAACATGAATTAAACAAAGGTGCAGCTCGAGAGTCTTTTCTCTGTCATTGTTGACCTCAGTCTAGAGGTATTCAGAATACTCTTTCTGAGTAACTGTATTCCCTTACAGTTACTTCTTTAAAGTCTGGTATTTAGAATACAGTTACTTTCTGAAAATCACGGGGAATACTTTCTCACATTACATTTTAAGGTCAATATAAAAAGAGGAGAAAACATTAGGTATTCAAGATTTTTTTTCTGGTTTCTAAATAATGAATAATTACAATAATTACATTAATTTAGCTTGTGGTTTGAAATATTTTGAAAATTACCTTTTATAGGTTTTGTAAATAAACATTCATTTACAATCAAATATAAATAATACAAAAATACAAAGTAAAAGTATTCTAAGTATTCTGAACACAGGTACTACTTTTTCCTAAGAATCGGAATACGATACAAAGTACATGTTAGGTCATGTATTCAGTATTCTGGAATGGAATACATTTTCAAAGTATTCGACACAACAGCATCAGTCACTTACACTCAGCTGCAGCGTCACACGCCAATCCTCACCTGAATCAGGCACCGCCCGCATCGAGCTTCATATCTCAAGGAAGCTCCATCCAAGCCGCAGCTTCATTCACGCTGCAACCCTCCTCCTCCCCATCTCCGCCTCGGTCCAGGCCAGCTCTATCATCCTTCTCCTCGCTACTACCACCAGGGTCTAGGCCCCGGGGGATTTCATCTCATGATCTCTTTCCCCTTCTGCCTCATCACATTGACTTACAGCAATAAATGTAATCTTGAAAATAAATATTGTCTTATATGTAATTTATGTAGTGTCAGATTACTTGCCAACCAATATACAATTCTAATAATACTCACGTTTTGTCTATTTGAGTTTCTCCAGATTGAAATTAGGTATAAAATAAAGCCTTCTTGCTGTTTATGTTTTTCTTTAGTGCCAATTTAACCCGTGCTTCCCTGGAGTGAAGTGTGTGAACACAGCTCCGGGTTTCCGCTGTGACGTCTGTCCTCTGGGTTACTCTGGACACGAGCTGGAGGGAGTCGGCATCGTGTTCGCTCAAACCAACAAACAGGTAAATTATCATATCATCATAAAAAAAATCTGTATTATGGTAATAACAACAAACTGTGTGTGACGTAGGTCTGCGATGACGTCGACGAATGCAAAGGACCTGAAAATGGAGGATGCACCCAAAATTCACACTGCCACAACACTCAAGTAATACTAATAACAATAATAATAATAATAATAATAATGATTATAATCATGTTGTAGAGGAAGAGAACGCATGGCGATAGAGGAAGAGAACCATGTTCTTCTTCCTCTATCGCCGATGCGGCGGCTCGTAGCTGTGGTCGGCAACCCCCGAACTCGGTGGTAGACACCGGCAGTAAGGGATGCTGTCAGGCTGAAGAAGGAGTCCTATCGAGCCATGATGGTTCGGGGGACTCCTGAGGCAGCTATCCAGTACCGGCAGGCCAAGCGTGCCGCGGCCCGGGCTGTTGCAGAGGCAAAAACCCGGGACTGGGAGGAGTTCGGAGAGTCCATGGAGCATGACTATCGGTCGGCCTTGAAGAGATTCTGGCAAACTGTCCGGCGCCTCAGGAGGGGGAAGCAGTTCTTTGCCAACACCGTGTACGGTGCGGGGGGTGAGTTGCTGACCTCGACTGGGGATATTGTCGGACGGTGGAAGGAATACTTCGAGGTTCTCCTCAATCCCCCCGTCACGTCCTCCGCTTCGGAGGCAGAGGCTGAGGATGTTGGGGTGGATACTTCTGTCACCCTGGCAGAGGTCACCAAGGTGGTTGGCAGCCTCCTTGGTGGCAAGGCGCCGGGAGTGGATGAGATCCGTCCTGACTATCTAAAGTCTCTGGATGTTGTAGGACTGTCTTGGCCGACACGTCTCTGCAACATCGCGTGGCGATCGGGGGCGGTGCCAATGGAGTGGCAGACCGGGGTGGTGGTCCCTCTCTACAAGAAGGGGGACCGGAGGGTGTGTTCCAATTATCGTGGGATCACACTCCTCAGCCTCCCCGGTAAGGTCTACTCCAAGGTACTGGAGAGGAGGCTACGGCCGATGGTCGAATCTCGGATTCAGGAGGAGCAGTGTGGTTTTCGTCCCGGTCGTGGAACACTGGACCAGCTCTATACTCTCCATTGGATACTCGAGGGTTCATGGGAGTTCGCCCAACCTGTCCACATGTGCTTTGTGGATTTGGAGAAGGCGTTCGACCGTGTTCCCCGGGGTGTCCTTTGGGGGGTCCTTCGTGAGTACGGGGTCCGGGGTCCTCTGCTGAGGGCAGTCCGGTCCCTGTATGACCGGAGCCAGAGCTGCGTGCGCATTGCCGGCAGTAAGTCAGACCTGTTCCCGGTGCATGTTGGCCTCCGCCAGGGCTGCCCTTTGTCACCGGTTCTGTTCACTGTATTCATGGACAGAATTTCTAGGCGCAGCCAAGGGTCGGAGGGGGTCCGGTTCGGGGACCACAGGATTTCATCTCTGCTGTTTGCAGACGATGTTGTCCTGTTGGCTCCAACAAACCAGGACCTACAGCATGCACTGGGACGGTTTGCAGCCGAGTGTGAAGCGGCTGGGATGAGGATCAGCACCTCCAAATCTGAGGCCATGGTGCTCGACCGGAAAAAGGTGCCTTGCCCTCTCCGGGTGGGTGAAGAGGCCCTTCCTCAAGTGGAGGAGTTCAAGTATCTCGGGGTCTTGGTCACGAGTGAGGGAAGGATGGAGCGTGAGATTGACAGGCGGATCGGTGCAGCGTGCGCAGTGATGCGGTCGCTGTATCGGGCCGTTGTGGTGAAGAGGGAGCTGAGCCGAAAGGCAAAGCTCTCGATTTACCGGTCAATCTTCGTTCCCTCCCTCACCTATGGTCATGAGCTTTGGGTAATGTCCAAAAGAACAAGATCGCGGATACAAGCGGTCGAAATGAGCTTCCTCCGCAGAGTGGCTGGGCGCTCCCTTAGAGATAGGGTGAGGAGCTCAGTCACACGGGAGGAGCTCGGAGTAGAGCCGCTGCTACTCCACGTCGAGAGGAACCAGTTGAGGTGGCTCGGGCATCTGTTCCGGATGCCTCCTGAACGCCTTCCTGGGGAGGTGTTCCGGGCACGTCCCACCGGGAGGAGGCCCCGGGGAAGACCCAGGACACGCTGGAGGGACTATGTCTCTCAGCTGGCCTGGGAACGCCTTGGAGTCCCCCCGGACGAGCTGGAGGAGGTGTGTGTGGATAGGGAAGTCTGGGCGTCTCTGCTTAGACTGCTGCCCCCGCGACCCGGCAACGGATGAAGCGGAAGAAAATGGATGGATGGATGGATGATTATAACACATTGTACATAATTAGCAGGTTTTTTTGACAGGTTAATGAAAAGACGTTAAAGACCTTATGACGGGTTTTAAAAGAGATTCCGGCAAAAAAAATCCTATATTTTATAAAAAGCACGTGTTTTTCATGAATTTAAGTTGTCTATGCTCTAACCTGTGTGTGACGTCATAACGGGTTACGCCCATGCATTGAAAACCATGGACTGGTGCCCAACACAATACTGCACTCTACAGGTGACAATTGCTCACTACACATAAATTGCCGTTTTGAGTGTGAAAAGGTGTCCGAGGTGGGATTTGAATCCAAGTATCTGGATTGGCAGTCCATTGACACAACCACTGGACTATCTCAGTGACAACGAAATGTGACATTCTAGTACTTATCTCACACTCGCTGTACACGGCCTTGTCATCTTGAATATCCGCGAAAAAAGAACGAATACCAAATTGTAAACAACCTACAGCGTTGAAACGTACCCGTTCTGACGTCACCAAGGGCTGTGAAGTTTTTTCGTTTCTAAGGGCGTTGCTATGGGGTTATTTCGATTTGGGGGGATCAGACAAAAAAAACAACAACTGATTTTGAAACCTTTAGTAGTTCTCTTCTAATATAAAATGGTATTAAAACTGTATTTCTAAATAAATCAAACCCGTCATAAGGTCTTTAATAAATGATTAAAAAGCTAAAATAAACAGTAAAGTGTTGGTAGGTTTGAACAGGTGGGTTTTGAAGCGATTTGAAGGTTTGACGTTAGACCGAGTTCCTGATGTGTTGTGGGAGTGAGTTCCAGAGAGAGGTTCAGAAGACTCGGTCCTCAGGGTTCAGAAGGCTCGGTCCTCAGGGTTCAGAAGGCTCGGTTCTCAAGGTTCAGAAGGCTCGGTCCTCAGGGTTGAGAAGGCTCAGTCCTCAGGGTTCAGAAGGCTCGGTCCTCAGGGTTCAGAAGGCTCGGTCCTCAAGGTTCAGAAGGCTCGGTCCTCGGTCCCTCAAGGTTCAGAAGGCTCGGTCCTCAGGGTTCAGAAGGCTCGGTCCCTCAAGGTTCAGAAGGCTCGGTCCTCAAGGTTCAGAAAGCTCGGTCCTCAGGGTTCAGAAGGCTCGGTCCCTCAAGGTTCAGAAGGCTCGGTCCTCAGGGTTCAGAAGGCTCGGTCCTCAGGGTTCAGAGGGCTCGGTCCTCAGGGTTCAGAGGGCTCGGTCCTCAGGGTTCAGAACGCTCTGTCCTCAGGGTTCAGAAGGCTCGGTCCTCAGGGTTCAGAAGGCTCGGTCCTCAGGGTTCAGAAGGCTCGGTCCTCAGGGTTCTGCAGTTTATTCTGATGGGAGTGAGGAGGTTCGGATTTCAGGCAGCTGAGAGAGAGAGACAGAGCTGATGGAGGAGGTCGGCGAGATTTGAGGGGGCCAGATTATGAAGAGACTTGTAGCTGATGAGGTGGACCTTATATTGTATGGAATATGGAACAGGAGCCAGTGGCGTTCTCTGAGGACAGGGGTGATGTGGTCTCTGGAGCAGGTGTGGGCGAGCAAACAGCCAACAGCGAGTAACAAACAAAGTAATACAACAACATGAAATACAACACCTTTAACTCAATATTTGAAAAAACCTCATTCTTTTTAACCTTGTCAGGGCTCCTACCAGTGTGGCAGCTGCAAGACCGGCTTCACTGGAGATCAAGTAAAAGGTTGTAAGCCTGAGATAAGCTGCGGCAACAGTCTCACAAACCCGTGTGATGTCAACGCTCTGTGTAACGTGGAGAGAGACGGATCCATATCCTGCAATGTAGGTATTCAGCTCGAGAACTGTGGAGGCAAAGAGCAACATATTTCTGAAGCTGTTCTTTTTCTGCCCTGTCAGTGTGGAATTGGCTGGGCCGGTAATGGATACCTCTGTGGAAAGGATACTGACATTGATGGATACCCAGACGAAAAACTCAAATGCAGGGACCAGTCTTGCAGAAAGGTAGCCACGGTTTATGACGTCTGGTGTAGATTCAGGGCAGGTTCGCACTTGTTGGTCTGGTTGACTTTAACTGGTTCACTATGGATGAAAAGTCTGTGTTTGTGGATGTAAAACACCACAACAAGTGAACAATCAACCCCTAGTCACATTTGTCAATTCAATTCAACTATATTACAGGTTCAATACAACAACAAAAAAACAAGGTAGACAATTCAAAAATGAGCAAACAAACAGTGTTGACTTTAAAATACAGCCATATCAGTGTCTCCATAAATGGCAATGTGATAAAAATAATAACACATTGTACTTATATGGTGCTTTTTGGACACTCAAAGACACTTTACAAAAGGACAGGCTAATAGGAAAAAATATATTAATTAAAAGCTAAAATGAACAGTTAAGGGTCGTCTGTAAGTAGTAAGTAAATATCTTTTTTTAGCACATTTAGAGACCAATGTCACCAAAAGCGCTTTACACTGTTACCAATATTTTCCCCCTCACTCCACACGCAGAAGTGACAGAAGCGAGACCATCACCATACATTTATATCCCATTTTTAGTGGTGGGGAAAACCGTAGCACCCGGCGGAAACCAACCCAGACACAGGTAGAACATGCAAACTCCACAAAGAGGGGCTCTGTTTAGATCCTTCTCGCTGTGAAGGGATCTGGGAAGCGTGTTTTGTCCCAGGGGAACCAGGCTCGGTCTATTGAATTGAAAGTAAACCAGAACATGTGTGAACGCGCCCTTTGAGTGAAGATCCAGGCCCTGTTCACACCGACCTCTCGTTTTCAGGATAACTGCATCTTCGTTCCTAACTCCGGACAAGAAGACGCCGACAAGGACGGCAGCGGAGACGCATGTGACAACGACGCAGATGGAGACGGCATTTTAAATGAGCAGGTTGTTAAATTATTATTCTTATTAATCATCATTCATTTAGATCAGGGGGGTCACGCCGGACCTCAAAGGTCCTGGTGTGGCTGCAGGTTTTCATTTCAACCAAGCAGGAGCAACACCTCAAGTGAGCCCAGTCTGAACCTGGAGATTAGAGGAAACATTTTTGCAGTCTGGTGTTCTCCTGCTTGGTTGGAATGAAAACCTGCAGCCACACAAACTGAAGCCACATTGATTATAATATCTTAAAATGGCGTCCATGGCGTGTTGTACCTCATTTTAAAGATAATTTTGCAAAGAAGGCAACCACATAATGTATGGTATTCTAACATTTTGAACCCAGCACAATACATTTACTTAAATAAAACCAAATCTAATTATGGCTTTCAGTCTATCAGGCTACAGCTACACGTCTTTGTATTTAGTCCAGTTTTGGGAACAGTAGCATCCACCAAACTGTACTTTCTTTTCTATTTTATTTCATTTTATTTTATTATATAGAGTTATTGTTCCTTTACAATCACTCTATACTATTGTAATACCGTCTCCTCCTCATTCCTACTGCGCTGTACCCGCTGATGCAACACTGACATTTTCCCCAATGTTGGACTATAAAGGATCTTTTTCTCTCTTTTTCTTATTCTCAACTCAGAGAAATCTACCAGAAAATACTAACCAAACTTATAATATTATCTTTGTATTGTAGTAATGATAATAACAATGATAATAATAATAATTATAATAATAATAATAATAATAATGTATAACAAAGAAAACCTCTTTGATAGTTTTGGCTTCTGACGATCTATTTCTGTTTAAACCCTAAATGAGTTTGACACCACAGACACTAATAAAAGATACAAAAACACCATGTTCTTGATTCCAGGACAACTGTTGGCTGAAGCCAAACGTGGACCAGAAGAACAGCGACAAAGACAATCACGGAGACGCCTGTGACAACTGTGTCCGAGTGGAAAACCCGGATCAAAGAGACACGGACAGAGACGGCCGCGGAGACGCCTGCGATGACGACATGGACGGAGACGGTGAGAAATACCTCACATTTAAGACACATTTCTCTCCATAACAAGATTTTTTTTCTTTGATTGCTTTTATTAATTCAAACAGAAATATTATGTTCAAAAGTAATTACATTCCTCAGTTTATGGAGACCTTTTGTATGTTGTTTTGTTTTGCTTACTGCAGGGGTGTCCAAACTTTTTAGTAAGAGGGTCACTTTCGTTCATCAGACTTCAGACATTTGCCCGACAACCTCGATTTTAAATAATTTAAGATGGATTGACTGGATTCTGGAATTTAAAATGGATTATGATACGTCCTTATTGAGGCTCTGAGATAAACAACAAGGTTTAGAATGACTGTAATGGTGGAGCTGAAGCTGGTTGGATGACACTGTCAAAATGCTTTAATGGCAACTTTGTGTTAGCAGCAAAGGGCCACATAAAAGGGCACAGAGGGCCGCAATTGGCCCACAAGCTTGAGTTTGGACATGCCAGACTTACAGCATCTACTTACACATGCAAATACATATATACATGAATATACAACCAAGCAACAGGAGTGCCATAGTTTTGTGCTGCTATTTTTATAAGTTCAGTTTGAGTTTACACATTTGTTTCAAGTGGAAGTAGGAAAGAAGTAGAAACTCCCACCCCATGAACATTATTCAAATACATGTATGAGTTGTTTAGAATTGAATAATAATAACTTCATAATAATTTGTCATGTTTTGTGCGATTTAACATTTTAATAAAGCTAAATCAACAAAATTACCAACCCAGGCCAGTCCCAGACGCAAGAAGCAATGTTTTTTTTTCATGAATCCTAAAAACATCCATCTTTATCATTTACATAGTTATTTTCCGTCAGAGCGAAATATTAATATTTTTTCTTTAAAGCTGTCTGCATGAGGCCAGATTTTAAATTATGTGAGGAGAGAGCAAATGCTTCCTTTGATCATTCTCCAGTGAGATTGCACTTCAAGTCATCACAGGGAAGGAGGAGATGTCTCTTTCCTCTATATATATCCTGCCACTTGACCTTTCTGCATTCATGGTCCTGCTGCTGCTGCCTGCAAGGAATAAAAGATGTCTGGGACTGAAAAAAAACAGGCCTTAGCTCCATATGCGTAATGCAACAGTGACTCCTAGTGGTAATAGTGTGAACAGCAGGAGGATGCAGAAGTCTTCTTTATGGGCTTGTGCTACCCTCGGGTCAAAATTACCAGCCACAGACGATTCAAAATAGAATAAAAATACTATAAATTAGGGTATCAAATGGTCCAATTGATCCAGGGCAGGTCAAGCTACAGAAAATCATCAAAATTCAGCTCGAAAAGAAATTATTTAGGCCTATTTTTTAACAATTGTGGCAGGTCAATTTTACCCTAGGATAGCAAAATAACCACTTTTCCTGTTTTTTGCGCACCCTGAGTGATTCTATAGATGCTAAATAGAACAATGTACATTTGTCCACTGTGAGATCAATAAAGTTGTATCTTGTCTCTTGACTAACCTGCATGATCGAATGGAAATACAAGGTTAAGAACAAAACCACGAAACAGTTTAGTTTAGTATATGTTTACGTGCATTTCATTAACAATTATAGCCAATAACAATGCATTGGTTTTATACAGCGCTTCAATAATTTTAGGACACTCAAACACATTTCACATGGCATCAGTCGTTCACTTAAAACAAATAAATCAAATCTACTTAAAGGCTTGAAAAACTTCTTGGACAACTGCCAACTGGTGCCCAATACGGACCAGGTGGACCGAGATGGAGATGGTGTGGGAGACGCGTGTGACAGCTGCCCTGACATCTCCAATCCCAACCAGGTCAGACTGAAACACCCTAAAGGACAGACACCACAATGTGAAGCTAGTTTTAGTACCATCTCGTGTGATTTCAGTCTGATGTTGACAACGACTTGGTGGGAGACTCCTGTGACACCAATCAAGACAGGTACATTTAAAGTTTTTTGTTTCATTCTTGTCCGTGACTCTAATTGGTGCCTTTTTAACAGCCACATCAAATCAGTAACATCCTCAGCAGCTGTTTACCGTCTGAAAAACAGAATCAGAAATATGTGTGTCTCAGGCAGATTTGGAGATTCTTATTCTGCATTTGTCTCCAGTAGGTTAGATTCTATTGAAACGGCTGCTCACTGCGGTCTCCACCTCGAGTCCTGACTAGAACCAGGAAGTACTATCACATTAGTCCAGTTCTCAGGTCTCTGCTTCCTGTGGCTCAGAGAATAGACTTTAAAACAGCTCTGTTTGTAACAAGTCTCTCCATGGCCTCGCACCAAAGTACATCTGTGACATGTTTGTGCCACGCGTCAGATCTGTAGACACACTGGTACACGCTTCCTGGGACTCTGAGGTGCACAGGGACTGGCCTCCTGCTGGGACTCTGAGGAGCACAGGGACTGGCCTCTTCCTGGGACTCTGAGGAGCACAGGGACTGGCCTCTTCCTGGGACTCTGAGGTGCACAGGGACTGGCCTCCTGCTGGGACTCTGAGGAGCACAGGGACTGGCCTCTTCCTGGGACTCTGAGGAGCACAGGGACTGGCCTCCTACTGGGACTCTGAGGAGCACAGGGACTGGCCTCTTCCTGGGACTCTGAGGAGCACAGGGACTGGCCTCTTCCTGGGACTCTGAGGAGCACAGGGACTGGCCTCCTGCTGGGACTCTGAGAAGCACAGGGACTGGCCTCTTCCTGGGACTCTGAGGAGCACAGGGACTGGTCTCCTGCTGGTCCCAGAGTCAGGACTAAACATGGGGAGGCAGCATTTCAGATTCATGCAGCTCAAATCTGGAACAGTCTTCCTGAACACGTGAGACAGACTTTTACCCTGTCCAAATCCAGCTTAAAAACAGTTATTTATAGCAGTGCTACAACCGAGGGATTTCATCTTCTCTCTTTTTAACTTGTATATGAACTGTGCAACACAAATAACCTTGCCTTGCCTTTGTGTTGCGCAGCGATGGAGACGGTCACCAGGACAGCAAGGATAACTGTCCGCTCGTCATCAATAGCTCGCAGCTGGACACTGACAAAGACGGTTTGGGAGACGAGTGCGACGACGACGACGACAACGACGGAATCCCAGACAGTATTCCACCTGGTCCCGACAACTGCCGCCTGGTCCCGAACCCAGACCAGATCGACGACAACAGTAAGACACAGCTGCTTTAGGGTCATAACTGTCTCCTTATTATTATGTCTGTGGTAGTTTACGCACACAACATGTCCCCTGTGATCTCTTTGTTGTGGGTTGAATGTCAGTTTCATGTGATTATATTTGAGAGTGAAAAGAGTTGTGTATTTTAGTGACAAAATGTAAAAAAGCTGAAAAAACCATGTCACAGGACCATCACATGACCACATATAAAAACTGATTTGTTGTTGTTGGTCCTTTCAAGCAGTTTACCAATGTAACCCTAACCCTAAAACGTTCATTCATTCATAAGCGTCCTCTTTATGAATGAATAAAAGAAGGTCCTGGGTTCGATTCCACCTCGAGACCTTTCTGCGTTGAGTTTGCATGTTCTCCCCGTGTCTGTGTAGGTTTCCTCTGGGTGCTCCGGTTTCCCCCTACCACTAAAAACATGTACAATAGATCATTCTCTGTGTGGAGTGAGAGACAACTGCACACAAAAAACCTGACAATTGTAAAGCGCTTTGTGAAATGCTCAATGTAAAAAAAGACGACTTACTTAAGAATGACTGCTCTTGGATTTCTAGTAGTTTCAAAATTCTGGGAGTCTTAGTGTAAAAAAAACAGTGTTGCAAAGATTAATTTCAAAGTACCTTACATTTCCAACTGTATTTTTTCTTATGCAGTCATTTCTATTCTATATAATTTATGATGATATATGTGTATGTGTGTATGTGTGTATGTGCTTTGGCTTATTCTGTTTAAATGATTCAAGCTATTTCATTCTGAGTAAACAGCGACATTAAAGAGAGTGGGTCATTGGGCGGCTCCTTCTGTGCCCCTCAGCCGAGCATTTCAGACCGTTTTATATTCATGCTCCACTCTGCGGCCGAATTTTAGTTTGTGGAGGAGAGCGGCAGTTTAGAGGTTCAGAGAGGAGAGTTTTTACATGAAATACATCTGATGCATATTAACACCAGGGCTCCCAGAATTCTGAAACTGTTCTGAACTCCCACAGCAGTCATTGTGACGGCTCCCATTCAAATCAATGGAATTCTACAGTTTTAGGTTTTGTCCAGGGCCTCGCACCAAAGTACATCTGAAACATGTTAGTGCCATATGAACCAAGGAGGACTCTGAGGAGCACAGGGACTGGCTTCCTGCTGGGACTCTGAGGAGCACAGGGACTGGCTTCCTGCTGGGACTCTGAGGAGCACAGGGACTGGCCTCCTGCTGGTTCCAGAGTCAAAACTAAACATGAAGAGGCAGCGTTTCAGATTTAGGCTAAAATCTGGAACAGCTTTCCTGAAAATGTGAGACAAGCTTCTATTCTGACAATGTTATTTTACAGTTTTAGGTTTTCACTACTATTCAAATTTAGTCATTTTGGTTTGATATTTTTTACCTGCTAAAACTGGTTAATATCAATGAAATGAACTAAATTCTAACTGCTACAAGTAAATAGTGTGTTGCTATGGTAACTATCACTTGATCCGAGCTAAAACAAAATAACATAGAAATAAACAACATATAGAAACAGAAAAAGTCACAGTTATGAAGACCAAAGACGTAAACGGAGTAATGACATTTTCAAAACGAAAAGCTCTGGTGTTAATACAGGCCTATGTTTTTGTTGTCGTATGACATCTGTGGTGAACGTCTCTGTCTCTGTCAGATGACGGTGTTGGAGACGTGTGTGAGTCAGACTTTGACCAGGACAAAGTGATTGACAGGATTGATAACTGCCCCGAGAACGCAGAGGTCACACTCACAGACTTCAGAGCTTATCAGACCGTGGTCCTGGACCCAGAGGGAGACGCCCAGATCGACCCCAACTGGGTCGTGCTGAACCAGGTATGATCCAGTCCATCTTCAGGCTTTTGTGTTTTATGCATTCTGCCACTGGTGGTAAGGTACCATTGTGGTCACAGCTGCCCTGGGACAGACGTAAATCTGTCTGTTCCATTGGCCTCTCCCACTACCATTCCTTCAAGCACACCAGACTCACACCTGTCCATGTGGGTTGCTAGTGTCTTGCCTAAGGACACATTGACACGTGTGTATGGTGTGCTTACCTACAGGAATATATTGTGTTGAAAATAATAAACTTATTCATTACACTAATGAATCCTGGTTCACAGGGAATGGAGATCGTGCAGACCATGAACAGTGATCCAGGGCTGGCTGTCGGTACGATTCCCTCATTCACAACACACAGTGATTTAAACATCTGTAACTAATCCAACACTGTGGGCACAGGCTACACGGCCTTCAGCGGCGTGGACTTCGAGGGGACGTTCCATGTGAACACGGTGACTGACGATGACTACGCTGGCTTCATCTTCGGTTACCAGGACTCCTCCTCCTTCTACGTGGTCATGTGGAAACAGACGGAGCAGACGTACTGGCAGGCCACGCCCTTCAGAGCGGTGGCAGAACCCGGCATCCAGCTCAAGGTCAATGACAAGACATCAGTACACCATGTTACAATCTGTATTTACCATCAGTCAATCAAACAATTAATCTATTAACCAATACATTAATCTATCAATCAATCAATCATCAATCTTTCAGTGTGTCATCTTTCATCTATATTTATGTAGAGCCTGGTCTGAGGTAGCCTGGTCGTACCACACCATAGTACCTATTACATTTCGTACTAAGGTCTGGAGGTGTTCCATTGACTCCGTTTACAGGTGGGAGGGGTGAACTCCTTTTGCAGATTGAAATTATTGGATCTGAGTTTACCGTGACGTATGCAATGCATTTAGCCTAGCCATCTCCTTTGCCGCTAACGGAGCCCGTGGGGAGTAGCGCCACAATTTTTCCAGCGATTACATTTGCTAAACATTCCTCTTGCTCCGGCTTCAATTTCTTGTTAGAACCAGACCGGATTACTTTACTATCGCATTCTTCGCCATTGCCAAACTACAACCTTCCCGTTCGACGCAAACTCTTGACGTCACCCACAACCAACAACAACACCCGCCTTCCGCGCTCTCTGATTGGTCGGTCGAAATTCAACAGATTGTAATCGCAAACACAGGACCAGACCCAGACGTTACATGCAGTGAAATGATGATTGAACGGAGTGTGCGGATGGATAAGGCCAGGCTAGTCCTGAGGGTCTTACAGCTCTTGTATACTCACACATATTGATAATCTGCACTGTTCTATTTTATGTGTGTTTTTATATATAAGAATTTTGTTTCATTTTCTATGCAAGGCAAGTTTATTTGAATGGCATAGTTCATACACAAGGATCACCCGACATAAATAATAACAGTACATTAAAAAGAACAGTAAAAAAGACAGTTTAATGCACAGCTGACAGAACTGTTTTTACAACATATTTTCTTCTATGTGTTATTCTTTTCTCTCATCCACAGGCGGTGAAGTCCAGGACAGGACCAGGAGAGCATTTAAGGAACTCCTTGTGGCACACGGGAGACACCAACGACCAGGTGCGACTGCTGTGGAAAGACCCCCGGAACGTCGGCTGGAAGGACAAGGTTTCCTATCGCTGGTACCTGCAACATCGGCCACAAGTCGGATACATCCGGTAAACTCTTCAAACTCTTCAAACTCTTCAAACTCTCTGAATACAAGTATTTTTTCATTTCAATGGATTTTTTCATACTCAATACAAGCCTGATGAATAATTAGTGTTACATAGGGCTGGGAATTGGCAAAAATGTGAAGATTAATTTGTATTGCGGCCCGGTGGCTGAGTGGTTAGTACTCTTGCTTCTCAGTTCAAATCCTGGTCGCAACAGGGTCTTTCTGAGTGGAGTTTGCATGTTCTACCAGTGCCTGTGTAGGTTTCATCCAGGTGCTTCGGTTGCTCCTACCACTAAAACCATGTACAATCGGTAAATCCTCCAGCACCGGTCCTGACCAAGCCGAGCGACGACGTCTGGAGATGGTTCACCAGGCGCTGTTACCACGGCGACCACTCCTCCTGAGAAGCCCTAGTGGCATCAGCATGGGTCGATTAAAGGGTCAAAATAAAGTCCACCTCTACCTTTATTGCAATATTTGGGCCACGATTCAATATTATTGCGATGCTTAACATATTACGATACAGTAAGTATTGCAATTCGATTCTGTGATATATATTGTGATTCATGTCCCGCATATATTTCAAAGACAATGAGGAAAATATCTCACATGTCACAATTTATTATGGTCTGCACGTTAACTGAAGGGCCAAAAAGCGTTGTGTAGAACTGCCTGTCTCGAAGCCTTTTCAATTTGAAGTTGCTGTTGAAGAAATGCACGAGCATCAAGCGCCACCTGTGGAAATGAGACGCAAATGTACAATTGCCAGAATAAACTCAGAGAAAACACAAAAGTGAAACATAGGATTTTTTTTATTAAATATTGCGATACTTTGCTCTTCTGTGTCGATTTAATTGCAAGCAAAAAATATCGCGATACTGAACATAATTGATTTTTTTCCTCCACCACTAGTGTTCAATTTGGCTTGAAATCTCTGCACCGAGGGACGAATGAAGGTTAAGATAAGATTATAGAACCTTTATGTGTCCCACAGTGGGGAAATTTCAATGTTGCAGCGCACTTACAGGACGGTAGTAAGAGAACACAGGGAGCACACAAAAAAATACAATACAAGTAGCTGCTGTGTTTCTCAGTTTGCTGTAAATACTCCACAAAAGCAGGAAGTAAATATCAATACACCTTTACACATATATCTTGTCTTATGTTTTGTTCCAGAGCTAGGTTTTATGAAGGCACTGAGCTGGTGGCAGATTCTGGTGTGACCATCGACACCACCATGAGAGGAGGGAGGCTCGGAGTCTTCTGTTTCTCTCAAGAAAATATAATATGGTCCAATCTGAAATACCGCTGTAACGGTGAGTCCCTGGTCTATGAGTCACAGCTGCAGACTAATACTGTTGTTTCATATCTTTTATCTAACTCTTATTTCCCAGACACGATCCCAGAGGACTTCCAGGAGTTCAGCTCTCAACACGGAGGCGACTCATTTTGAAAACATCCAATAAATGACTGATTCTGTTGATTCTGTTGATGGTGGAATGTGGCAGAAGTCCTGAACGATAGAAGCACAATCCTCACACTGTGGCTTTACATAATTACACGGCCTTCAAATTTTTCAGAATCCAATGTGTACTTTTTTGCCAAGGTGCGTTATTACATTTGTAAGTTATGCACGACAGATATTATTCTGTCGCACCCGGAATGCCCTGTGTCAATCTGTCTCGGGAACATTCAAAGTCCGTGTTGTATTTGTTTTCATACTCATGAATTAGGACGAATAAAAGAAAATATCTGATAAAAAATTGTGTCGAGAAATGAGGACAGAAGCAGCAGAGATCGCATTTGTAACCTTTATTGTCCAGTTTGTCTGCACCAAACAAAAGAAGACACGGCCTTTTATATGAAATATTTCAGAGCCAGTGGGGGACTAGCCTGGCCTTATCCATCCGTACACTCCGCTCAATTATCATTTCACTGCATGTAACGTCTGGGTCTGGTCCCTGTGTTTGCAATTACAATTGCTTGAATTTCGACCGACCAATCAGCGAGCGCGGAAGGAGAGAGTTGTTGTTAGTTGTGGGTGACGTCAAGAGTTTGTGTCGAACGGTAAAGTAAAGTAATCTGGTCTGGTTCTATCAAGAAATTGAAGCCGGAGCAAGAGAAATGTTTAGCAAATGTGATCACTGGAAAAAATTGTGGCACTACTCCCCACGGGCTCCGTTAGCGGCAAAGGAGATGGCTAGGCTAAATGCTGAATGCTAACAACTCACTCGGGCGCACTACATACGTCCCGGTAAACTCAGATCCAATAATTTCAATCTGCAAAAGGAGTTAACTCCTCCCACCTGTAAACGGCGCTCAATGGAGCACCTCCAGACCTTAGTACGAAATGTCATTTGTACTATGGTGTGGTACGACCAGGCCAGTGGGGGACGGGCCCCAGCTCAAAAAGTTCCATGAGCATGTGCGCTGACACACTTACATTACCGGGGCTGGTGCCGGCTCACGCATGCGCAAATGTGTTTTTTCACTCTTTCCTGATCTGTGGCCATTTTGAAAAGCCCCATAGAAGCCAAAAGTGGTGGCCCCTTAGTTTCAATGGCAGAGAGACAGGTACGACTACATCCTTTAATGTTTACAGTCTATGGTCAGAGCAAAAACGGCGGACAATCCTTGAAGTAATACTGAGTCCAAATTATCTAAATATTATCAAGGCTTGATTAATTTTCATGTTTGCCCGAGTTAAATCCAAAACATGCAGCTCAGACTCTACAACTGGTCTTGTTTTAAAAATCTAGATAAGAACAGCTTTGGAGTGAATAGAGTTTTAAAGACCTGCAGCTAAACCGAGCAGCAAACAAAGCGGGTTCTCAGTTGAAGTGGTGCTTTAGATATTAGATAACATGGAAGCTGCGTACACTCTGCAGGCGTTTGATTCTTCCACCAGGGACTGTGTGTGTGTGTTATGGCATTCTTATTGTGTATGTGTGTGCGTGTGTGTGTGTGTGTGTGTGTGTGTGTGTGTGTGTGTGTGTGTGTGTGTGTGTGTGTGTGTGTGTGTGTGTGTGTGTGTGTGTGTGTGTGTGTGTGTGTGTGTGTGTGTGTGTGTGTGTGTATGATGGAGGAGAAGCTTATGTCTCTGGCAGTGAGTCACACAGGGCTCAGCTGCAGAGCTCAGTGCAGATAATGAAGACCTCAAGTCCCGAAGAGAAAACACTAACGACAACCTCAGACACAGAAGGGATTATTGTGTATATCTATCTATCCATCTTTCTATCTATATCTGTACATCTGTCTGTCAGTCTGTCTATGCATCTTTCTACATCTATCTATACTGTATTGTCTATCTATCTATCTATATGTATGTCTGTGTGTGTCTATCAATCTTTTTATCTTTCACCGCGGCACGGTGGCTGAGTGGATAGCACTCTCGCCTCTCAGCAAGAAGGTCCTGGGTTCAAATCCCGGCCGGACCAGGGCCTTTCTGAGTGGAGTTTGCATGTTCTCCCCGTGTCTGCGTAGGTTTCCTCCGGGTACTCCAGTTTCCCCTACCACTAAAAATATGTACAATAGATCTGGCATGCGCCTCCTGTTCGGCGACTCCGCTCCCATCTCTGTGTGGAGTGAGAGGACAAGTGCCCAAAAATTAACAATTGTAAACCGCTTTGTGACTCTGGTCTGTGAAAGGCGGTATATAAATAAAAGCTTACTTACTTATCTATCTGTCTATCTGTCTGTCTGTCTGTCTGTCCATCTATCTATCTATCTATCTATCCGTCTGTCTGTCTGTCTGTCTATCTGTTTATCTCTCTTTGGTTGGTATCCCTCTCTCAGCTCGGGTCCAGGAAGCTTGAGGGTTCTGCATATCTTTGCTGTTCCTAGTGCTATATATTATGGTACAGCAACTTTATTTTTATAGCACAGTCCATACACAAGGAAACTCAAAGTGCTTATAATAATATACAAATACATAACTACTATACATAAATACAAGGCATTAAAGTCATAAATAATTAATTTAAACGTTGTTTGCACAGCTAAAGATAACTGTTCTTAACCTGGATATAAACATCATATATATGTAAGCTTATCAAGGTGGAGTATGCTTCTTTCTTTTAATAAATAAGGATTTTTCCGTCAAAAAATAACAGGAACTTCGAATTTTGAGATCATGACCACTAGAGGGCAGCATTCTCCATTACAATGCGTTGCTACCATCTTTGCCTCAGGTCTAGATGGATTTAAATATAGACATTTTTACCACAGATTACATAAAGAAAAACAAAATCAATGTCTAGAATTTTGTGTCCAATCTATGAGTCCAGTCTCTCTTTTGCATACATTAGAATATTATATAATTCTTGTTTACTGGATCCATCTGGACTCTACACCTGGTCATCCTGTGTCTCTTCGGTCTAGACTGAGAGTACAGACCTGTCAACAGCCGACCCAGACAGGCGTGGGAGTGAGTGCGGAGGGGGAGAGGTGCGAGACGAGGCAGAGAGCCGTGTCACACTGCTTCTCTCCCACTTGCTCTGAGATTCGGATGACTTTTAAATTAGACACTTTTATGTAACTGTTCCAAATTACAGGCTGTCTTCGTCCTGCTGTTAAAGAGTATGGAACAAAAGAGCAAGAACAGTCTGTGTTCTCTCTCTCTCCATATTCGGATCAACAAGAATTAGTGATGATTATTGACAACAGTGACATTCAGGGACACAAGAAGAAGGTTATTGTGAGAAAACAGTTTGAGACGTTTACCGGCGCTAAATTAATCATATCTTCCTAATCGTATGTATAATCCTACCTATGTTAAACTTTGTTATCATGTAAGCCAATTTACATACATAATTTACATCTACAATTGCACGTGAAAGCTTCCCGCCAGACCTCTGAAGCTGTGCAGGGCAGGGCATGGTTAGTTCCGTGATGGGAGACCTTTGGGAATATACGCACACTTACTTTCTCACTTTATATGTCAGTAAAACAAAATCTGTCTGTTTTTCATCTAAAACTCGCCCCACTGATAATTTACACTTAACAATTGGTAAGTAATGCATTGAGCAAGTGAAAGGAATTCAAATATTTAGGCCTAATTCAGAGTTAAAACAGTTTCTATTAAATCATGTTTTCATGTTGATTCCACTGTAATTGTTCATATAGATATTGCATTTGTTATAAATTTTATCTGAATATACTGTATTTTTTTATATAAGTTACACAATCAACATGTGGAACACTACAACATTCATAGCCAAAGCTAATTTGCAATGTCCGTCCCTAGAGCTTTTAGAGTAACACAATGAAAAACACATTCAAGTAAGTCATCTTTATTTAGCGCCTTTCTCAGACCAGAGTCACAAAGCGGTTTACGATTGTGGGCATTAGTCTCTCACTCCACACAGAGATGGGAGCGGGGCCAGTACAGGAGGCACATATCAGAGCTATTGTACATGTTTTTAGTGATAGGGGAAACCGAAGCACCCGGAGGACACCTACGCAGGGCCCTGTTCCGACCGGGATTCGAACCCAGGACCTTCTTGCCGAGAATCGAGAGTGATATCCACTCAGACACCGTGCCGCCTATTGTAGTATTCACATTATACAAAAATAATAAATGTGAATGTTTGTTTTGGACCCCAGGCAGAATCAGGATCCCTTCAAACTATACTTATTATCTAACTATATAATAACTTATGGAACACTGACATAAAAATGAAAGTCTTTGATGCGTGTGGGCTGCTGTAAGGGTTACTGTACCGTCATGGACACATTAACAAGAGTAAATGTAAAAGTACTTTCCACAAGCACAGAGAATGAGAGATAATTGCGCCCCGTTTGCAGGTTAGACAGAACAAATGGAACAAAACGTTTGAAATGCAGCTGACATTTGGACGAACGTGTTAATAATGATAATTCGACGAAGAGGCAGATTGGGACTTATTCTTGGCTGAAAAGAAAACTGGACGTGAGAAAAACAATAGTACAAGAACACAGACTGCATGTTTTGTGCCAGCCTTCTCACAATAACAGTGTTGGGGTTTTTAATTAGAACATTCCACCAGACTGACAGCCCATGTTCTGACTGTGTCTCTGTGAAGGCAGGATGCATGCTGGGAGAGATTCTGAATCACTGCTTCAGTCTCTGCATAGATACAGACATAGATACTGTAGATATATGGACACAGACATAGATACTGTAGATAGATACAGACATAGATACTGTAGATACAGAGATACTACAGACAGATAGATACATACAGACATACAGTACAGACGGACATACAGTACAGTACAAACCAAAAGTTTGGACACACCTTCCAAGAGTTTTCTTTATTTTCATGATTATGAAAATTGTAGATTAACACTGAAGGCATCAATTAACTCATGAGGAATTATGTACGTACTAAAAATACAGTATGAAACAACTGAAAATATGTCGGTTCGTCAAAGTAGCACCTTTTGCTCTGATACTGCTTCACTCTTGGCATT